TGTCCTGCTCGACGTCCTCAACAAAGGCGATAGCATTTTGTAGTTTATGGATTTTTCCTGTGAGCGCGAGGGTTTTGTGTTTGAACTCGTAAGAAAATGAAGTCGCAATCATATGCCCGGTCAACTTGTCTGATTTCTCCCTCTTCAAAATATCCCGTTCACTATAAGGAAGTTTTAGAATAACGTGCGTAGGCGCTTTGGGTAACCTAAAAATAGCGTCGCGATTATAAAACCTAAGGCAGCGCTAATTTTTGTTTACTCAAAGTGCTTGAGCGCGACACTGTTAGCGCGAACAAGCGATTGTAGTTTTTCGCAGTTTGTCTCAAAGAATGAAATGACTGCCATCAATATTATTAGTGTCTTTGAAAGTGCTCATCTGGGCCACTAAGCTAAGCGGTATACAATTTGGTACCTTCTAAAACCATTTCGAAGTAACATTTAAAAAATCGTGTTCGCGGTAACGTTGTCGCGTTTCGTAGTCCCACATTTTGGGGACCATCTTGACAGAAACATTTCAAGTGGTTCAAGTAGAAATATCTTTCGTTGGAGCTTGTCTGAAAGTGATGTATATTTTAAGAATACGTCGACAATAAAAACTAGTTCACAACATAACTAAATAGCTCGCCGGCACCTTTGCTTTATTTGCATTAACCAAATTTCGGCACCTATTTTTAAGGAGAAAATGTGAGCAAACCAGGGTTAGAACGATGGAGACTTTTCGAGGAGAGGGTGAGATGTGCGGGGCTTTATACCAATGGGTTTAAACGGGACGGGCGCAAACGTAAAGGTGTTCCGGGAACGGATTGAAAAGGGACAGGTTCTAATGGGAAGGGCGATTCGGGAATTCTCCAATATGAGCCTCAGCCGGTACACGAAAGCAGTCTTCCGGAGCTGGTCGGTGCGCTTGTCACGGTGACCCCTCTGTGTGTGCCACCGAGTGGATTTTCTGCTAGTCGCCCCATTTTTGTGCAACTGCTGTTCTTGCGAAAATGGGTGTGTGGTGCAAAGCGCTATTCCTCCGATCCTATGAACACCAGGCATCGGACGGCGTCCCATCCCATTCACCTTTTTATACGCCCCTATCTATGACATCACGTAGTCAGTAAACATGTGAGTAGTGTTCCAAAACGAGTATTTTTTTTTCTGAAAAGAACCGCCGTGTTTAAATAAATTAGTAAGCTAAAAAAAACTTCCAAATGGGGGCGCAGCGGCGCAACCCTTTTGATGGCTCCCTGGGTACCCTGGGCCTCTACCCTGGGCGACCTCCCGGAACGCCTACTCCCGGTCCTGGTATAAAGTCCAGGATATCGAAAAAATAAGACGTTCTTTTTTTCTTTGGGGCTAATTTGAAGGAGGAACTATTTTCTGCGGTTGCGGTCGTCACGAACGTTTACAATTAGGGTCGATACGTCCTTATCAGTGTTCCAATTTCTTTCTTCTTTTTTACTAACTGTCGCTAAGCCCAGTTTCCACGCTTAATCACGTTCGGAATGTGTCGTTAGCCTACTGTTGTCCTTATTGATTTGTGTTCCCTACACTGCGGCTTCGACTTATCAATATATCTATCCTTCTTGTCACCCATAAGAGCGTTGCCTCTATTACTATTAATTACACTAAACTCGGTCCTAAAATTTCTCCACCAGATAACCCGTTATTCGCGACTCCAGCGACCTATAGGGGGCGCCACCACCAAATAAACATGGCGGCTGAGTCCAGGTCGCGTCGGCTCGGCCGGGCCGCCTGAACAGGTGGTGCGTTCAGTTTAACAGATTTTATTTTGTTTAATGCCCAATTTTATAGGTTTTTGAACTGAGACGGTTAAGTGTAGCCGGTGCACATAAACTTGCAGAGCATAGTTTTGTTTTCCAATTGTGTTTTTTGTTCTTTTCATGTCAAACTTTCGTTTCGGAGATTTCGTTCGAAACCGAAACTATGGGCTCTGGAGAGACGGTAATATACTAATCAGTTTTGATCATCTAAGGCAAGCGGCAATGAATGCAGAATTCTACCACCGACAGTAATTTTCAGCCAACTCGCATGCCTCGACCATGCGACTTATCTGTCCGCGAAATCGAGCTTTTGTGCATATCCGCGTTTAAGAAACAGCTTCAGTCGTATGCTCGGTCAACAACACAGGCTGCAGGAAAATTGCAAAAATTAAGCAAGCGCTTCTTGAGCCAAGGAGCATGTTACCCCGCCGGCACCCCACTAAGCCGCTGATACTCGTATTTCAATTCAGGTTTTAGTAGCAATCGAGAAGTCATTTTGACGAGCGGGTTATGTATTATATTACGTACTATGGGGGGGGGGGGGGGGTCTCACTAAAGCAATATTAGTATATTCTTCGGTTTGAAATATGAGCTTAGTTAACTAGCTATTAGGTGAACTGCTGAATAAAAATATATTTGACAGACAGAGAGATACTAAGTTAAACTTAACCAAATTGTTCTAGCCGGTAGCACGGAGACGAATGCGGACAAACTGAAGAGAGTCTTCATTGGAGATTCACGCAGAACCTCTCTGCATTGAACTTGACTTCGAATCCTGAACAGAAAAAATGAGTATTTTTGTGGTCGGTCAACCTGAGCAATGTAGACGTATATTGCTGCTGGCTTAATTCGACGGGTGTATAATATAAATATTGGAGGCGCGATAGGTCAAAATGCCGTGACAGCATCTAACGTTGCGAGACGTGTCCCCCCACCTTTTGAAAACAGATAATTCCCCTCATTCATCATTTGCAGCGAGCAGGTTTTCCTGAATCAAGTAATTGCGAAATCAGCCCAACTCCTTCAGAGTGGTCCAGAGGATTTTTTGGCGAAAAGCAGCCAAGATGAATAGCCAACGCACCGACCGGCGTGGGTGGCTCAAACTTGAAGCTAATCGAACACAATCAAACTCAAGAAAAGCAGCTATCGAACCTTCCCATCCACTTGACTGCAGCATTGGTGTTCCCTCCAGTGAAATGCCTCGTCTGTCGTCCTCCCACTGTTCTACGTCCTGATAAAGAAACCCCTTATCGGTTACCAAGTAGTCGTCATTTTGAATGTGATTCGAGACAGACAAGAAATCAAAACGTTTTTTCCGCGATTCCTCCCCATCCAAGAAATCGAAAACACGTGATGGAAGGAAACAATCTACTGAAGTTTCGCCACACTAATGAAATTCCCGGACCTTCGTTAAATGACATTGTTCACCACCGCGCCGACAACACGTGCCCGCGAAAGCCACCAGAGGCGCGGAGGGGCGCGGAGCGACCTGGACCGGCTGGTTCCCTGTTTTCAAGCTTGGTGGCGTCCGTTTTGCTGGAGTCGCGAATATTGTCCTTGTAAGTAATTTTTTATCAATTTATTCGTGTGCGGAGCGCTTCGTGACACACCTTTAATATGCCTGCTTTAAGTGCGCTTGAAACTGGGTTTTAAGGGCTTTCAGAACAAACTCATGAAATAATCGAGAAATCGGCTCGCAATCTCCACTCTGCGCGTGCCCAACAGCGTGCACTGGTTCGCCGAGTTTCTAAAAGAGTTAAATCGGAGAGCCTTTTGGCAGCATTCCCAAGAAGGGGTATACTGTACTTTAATGCATTATACCCCATTTTCTTGGGAGTACCTATAAATACTTCCAATGAGTGTATCCCTTCAAATGGAGAAAAAAATTTTCGACACGTGGTTACTTCTTTGTTCAAACCAGCGTTTTATTCAACCAAAGTTTATTGCTGAGCCCTCATGGTCGTGCAAAAAATTACTAAATAATTTGCGAAAAAAAAAAGAGAAAATAAAAAGAGCACAGTCAATAAAACCAGTTTTCAAAATAATAAACATAAGCAACAAATCTTACAAACTAATAACACACAAAGAAATGACTTTCTTAACATTGCTGCTATTGAAAGACCTTAGTTATTTTATAAGTTCGTATATTTATGGTCATGACTAGGCCGACTTGTAAGGTACAGTGCTAATCACACTTGTCTATAACGCGCGGGCGTGCAGCTTTCTCCGGGGAGCCCTGGGCTGGTGGCATTCGCGGAAACTAAGCTAGTCACGTGGCGCAACATGGAACGGCCCGCTCGAGGGGTGTTCTGCCCACTCTATCAGCTGGCGGCGAACGCGGAAGGCTGCTCGCTTTTTACAAACATCATTGCTCGAACAATAAACAGACTAAAGCATGATGGCGTATCAACGATGTCATCAAAAAACAAAAATATATCATAAAGCACCTTATTTTTATCGCTTATCAAGCTGATACAGTGGGCAGGACACCCCTCGAGCGGGCCGTTCCATGTTGCGCAACGTGACTAGCTTAGTTTCCGCGAATGCCACCAGCCCAGCGCTCCCCGGAGAAAGCCGCTCGCTTGCGCGTTATAAACAAGTGTGATGAGCACTGCACATAAGTGACCTTACAGACAACACAGAAACTTCAGGTGCATCACGTGATTAATGACTCTAAATGAATAAAAAAAGATAAGGCTTCAAATATTTTCTTTTTTTCGTGTACAAAAAGTGAAAGCCGTTTACAACTCCCTGTAATGCCGAATTGGAGGGCAGCTCTTGAGGAGGAGGAGGGAAGGGTACTGAGGGCCGCGTCTTCTCGAAGGAGGGGGGGTCACGTGGCCCCCCCCCGAGGTCACGTGACCTCGGGGTGGGGAAATTTCCCCGCTAGACTTAGCGGGGAAATTTTTCCCGCTAGCTATAGCGGGGACATTTTTTCCGCTAGATTTAGCGGGGAAGTTTTCCCGCCAGATTTAGCGGGGAAATTTACCCATAATGCACCGCGCGGTTACGCCAACGGTGACGGCGACGCCGCTCAAGCCGGAAACGGGCCCCTAAGAGCTGCGCTCTAAAAAGACCTCTGGTCGCTTCGTCTAAGGGAAATTCACATTTTTTATCTGTGTTTGCGCAATAAATAACAGGCTGAAACATTTTGAACTGTGCAAAACACACACTGCTTGCAAGTAGAACCGCTGCAGGTCTATCGCCAAGCCAAATGAACACACGTCGGTGCTAGAGTATTTCGTTTAAATCCCTTCCACAATTATGATGCACGTTGCTGTTTCGATAACTTGCGATGTATCTTCCGATGAGCGTGTAAATTGCTATGAGCCGCGAACGCTCTACCGCAGGTCTCACACTTGAACGGCTTCTCTCCGGTGTGAGTCCTCTCATGATTCGCCAAGCGAGTTTTCTGAGTGAACGCCCTGCTGCACCTGTACCGCTTCTCTCCGGTGTGAGCCCTCACATGCATCGTCAAATCGCATTTCTGAGTAAACGCCCAGCTGCACGTGTTGCACTTGAACGGCTTCTCTCCGGTGTGAGTCCTTTCGTGATTCGCCAAATGGGTTTTCTGAGTGAACGCCCTGCTGCACGTGTTGCACCTGTACGGTTCTCTCCGGTGTGAGTCCTCACATGCATCGTCAAATCGCATTTCTGAGTAAACGCCCTGCTACACGTGATGCACTTGAACGGCTTCTCTCCCGTGTGAGTCCTCTCATGACTCGCCCAATGGGTTTTCTGAGTGAACGCCCTGCAGCACGTGTTGCACTTGAACGGCTTCTCTCTGGTGTGAGTCCTCTCATGACTCGCCAAATTGATTTTCTGAGTGAACGCCCTGCAGCACGTGTTGCACTTGAACGGCTTCTCTCCGGTGTGAATCTTCTCATGAACCGCCAAGTTGTGTTTCTGAGCAAAGGCCCTGCTGCACGTGTTGCACTTGAACGGCTTCTCACCGGTATGAGTTCTCTCGTGATTCGCCAAGCTGGTTTTCTGAGTAAACGCCCTGCGGCACGTGTTGCACTTGAACGGCTTCTCTCCTGTGTGAGTTCTAACGTGAGCCTTCAAGTTAGACTTATCCGTGAACGTTTTCTCGCAAACATCGCAACTGAAGGGCCTCTCTCCAGTGTGAGTCCTCTCGTGGATGGCGATACCCGCTGCAGAAAGACATGAGTGAGGACAGAAGCGGCACCGGTGCTTGTCCGGGTTTCGGTGCGTTTGCTGCTTTTGTGGGTTGGTTGGGGGAGAGGTGTCACCCCTGCGGCTGTCCTGGTCGAAGGTATCCATTTTGTCGCCAGAGTATGCTTCGATCAGGTCTGTTGGGATGACAGGACAAAGCAAGAAATGTCGGCGCTGTTTTTGTTGTTCTGAACATGGGAATTTTGAGTACCTAGATGAACATGGTCCAGAATACCTACATCATGCCGGTGCAGCGAAGAGTAGGTATTCATTCATTTGAGATGTTAAAAAGGTTCATTCGTAATGCTTGTAAAGGTCTATAGGCAATTGTTTAAGATTCCACTCTGGCAGCCCCATGCTGCGGCAGCTGTGGTGGCTTGCGCGTTCTCCTAACCAAGTGCGGAAGGAAAGTCAAGCCGCCGCGGCTGCTGCTGCACAGTGTTGGCGGTAACGTGTTACAAGTAACGTCGTTACCGGTAGCGCCTTTTTTCTTTCAGTAACGTAGTAACGTATTCATTAGTTTTCTAAATCTACAAATTTTCTAAATTTTTCCAATCTTTTCCCCACGAAAAAATTTCCGCTTTAGAAAAACCCCAACCAACGCCTGTCATGTTAAAGTCGAAACACGCTGTCGCCAAAAGAAAACAAAAGCGCTGTTACCGTCAATTTATTAAAAAAAGTAACGCAAAAGTAACGTGCGTTACGTTCTGTCGGCGACATTATCGCGTTCCTTTATTTCGCAAGTAACGTAGTTCTTTACTCTTTTACGGTAACGACTACAACACTGCGGCTGCTTACCGCTGCCAGTACGAAGCGCCGGGTGATAGCGTGTCGACATTCATAATGATCGCGACTGTGTTTTAAGTGACGCTGGAAGGGTCATTCACACACAGATTATTAGGTTACACAAAATAGCATTCAATAAGCTCGTGGAACAGGGATGGGCAAAATACATGCAAATATGTATCGAAATACAAATACAAAATACTTCGTCAAAAATTTATTTAATTACAATTTTAATTACATTTCCAAAAAAGCATCTAACTACAAGATACAAATACAGTCAAACGTATTTGGTCTCCTCCAAATACTTTTTCAAATACATTCCTCAAAATTTGCGTCAGCGACTTCAGGGCACCGCAACGGGTTTCTGGTTATCTCATTTTAATTTTGCACCGCACACTCGGGAGTTAGTGTGCGAGGCTCTAGTAACGTAATTGAAATATAATCACAAAAAATGTAATCAGCTTGGACGTAATAGGTTAAAAAAGTACAGAGCTTCAAGCAGAATTTTTTGTCGATTACATTTTGGTATAGACCAACAAAGAACAGAGACGACCAAGATGCGCAGCACTAGCTACACTCTAAGAAAAAAGGGAGGAGAAAGGTAGCAAAAGCGACTGTTCCTCCTTGTTGCGGACAAGTTGCCCAGAGAAGGGAGGAACAGCAGCTCAGATGAAAGGAGGAGGGCGAGTTCCTCCTTGTTCAGTTGGCGCAGGGGTAGAACATCGCGCTACTGACGAAGTGGTCAACGCTTCGATCCCCAGAAAAGTGTTTTTTTTTTTGTTTTTTTTTGTAAAGTTTTTTTTTTTTAATTTTTGTTTACTAAAAGACACATAAACAAACCCAGACCGATGAAAGGAAAATTAAAGTCCTTATTATTCTCCGAGACGTTTTCCTCCTCCAGGCAGACCGGAGAAAGCTTTCACCCTCCCGACCCATCTTCTTTCGGTTTCGTTTTTCGAGCACATCGCGCACGTTGTTTAATAAATTAATGTTGAGTTGATTGAGCTTCAGCGACAGCGAAGGCCGCCTGTAATTCCGTCTTCTAGTCCAAACGTGCAGAACATTTCGGTTGCATTGACGTTTTTACCACTAATTTTATCAAACGAGCTAACGAAGCCGCTAGAAACAGCGAAGTTCCGGAGCAGTGCCAGCAGCGCTACATACACTGGGTAAGACGGCCGCACTGATCTCACGGCCGTCTCCAATTTGCGGGACGCACGCGGAACTACAGCAGCGAAACCACGAGGAACTGTGTCGACGTTTTCGACGTTATGGAAATCGCGGGAACTGCGTCCAAGGAAGGCAGGTTTTTCTGCCGGCTGCCTGGGTGCCTTCCGTGCTGAGTTCGGTTCCGTTGTCCCGTGCCGAGTGCCAACCGGCGTTCAACGTGATTCTTCTGCGTGTCAGCAACATCGTCAACGTGGTTCTGTATTTCTTCGTGTCAGCGACATCGTGATGGCAGTGTTGTGGGTTGTGAACAGAAGACTGGAATTATCGCCGATGTGATCGTGTGTTCGCGTATCAGTGGTGTAACAACAAGATGAGATGACGTAAACTGTCGGGCATTGATGCCGCTGGTCGGGCCGTTATCGGAGGGGCCGGGGTGTCGCAGGATGACATTCCGCTTTACATTAAAGAGTTTAAAACCACTTGAGCGATTAGGTGCAGTCGATCGACGTGTGGATAGTCATGTTGGAACGCTGGTCTGAACGGTAAGCTCCTATCGTACAGTGGCCAACGTGACTGTCGGTCCCCGAGAGCGATTGCGCTCTGGGGAAAAGACAACACTACGAAAGTATGGCGGAAAGTACGTATATTTATAATGGAAGTTTAGCATAAAAAAAAAGACAGGCAAAATCGAAAAAAAAAAACGCTATCCTTTATTTTACTGTTTAAATATATTGCGCTTCCTGTAGAAACTGCCATCTAAGTGGCGCGCTGGGATGAGCGCTAGAAGTTTTCGAGCTCGCAACGGCGCAGCTCCGTACACTTAACAGTTGTCGCAAGTCGCGGCTTTGACTGCATTCAAGTTGATCGAAAAGCGATTTCCGTGCCCGTGAAGCATCACTTCCAGCTGAGTGGATATCCGCTCTACAGAGATTAATTCAAGACGGCAATTGCAGCTTTACGCGGACAGTACAAATAGAAAAACGAACACTACAATATAAATACTGGCTACGAAGGGCCATGCGGGAAAACAAACTCATGGCTTGGAACCACATTGGAGCGGCTCGATTTATTGGCTTTCAAATAATTATGGCATGATCGAGCGTCTTCTTTTTAATAAGAGATTCATCCCCTGAGCCATTAAAAATAGCCTCAGATGTATGACATTGCTGGAAAAAAATGAACATGTTCGGAATATTTTTTTTTGCTTAGGGAATCACCGAAAAATTCCGTACGTTCAAAACGACCACTATAAAAGACGGAAACGCAGGGCTCCGTAGTAGTGATCGGGGTTGTGTGCTGTTGTATTGATGTTTGTATGTGCGATGCCGTGTATGCGTTCAATATATGTTGACCTGATGTTTGTAGTGTGCGCAACGTGTCTACATGTGTTAGAGATTCCGAAGAAAAGGAAACGCATGGCATAAAGAAATAAAATTTTTTTTTGTAAAACATGAATTGGGCGGTACCTAGCGCCACCTAGCCTAGCTACGTGCGATTACTCTGCTTGACCCTGCCATCTGGTGGCAAGCGATTTAACATCCTTTTACGCTACGCGGCTACGCCATACTTTCGTGTTACCGTGCTGAGATAAGCCAAGAGGTTGCTTCGGATTTGCTTTCTTCTGAGAGCGGCTTTTGGTTTTGCGGGCGAATGATTTTCACTCCTCCTGATGTGCGGTTGACGCAACGGTTGACGAAGGAATTGTGGCTCGAGGAATAGCAAAGGTAGGACATAAGGTGCGCGAACTGAGTGCCGGTTGTCTCCGTTGAGCATCGCAGTGCTGACGATGAGAAGACTGAGTGACTGCATGCTTTCGAAACGTAAGTTTCTTTACCTGCAGGGGTAAAGAAACTTCGGAAATAAATACAGTTCGCGGAAAGCTCGTGTTACGTTATTATTTCCTGCTCCTCTCGCTTCGTGCAATAGACTTAGTGTTCTCGTTAAGCCTTACCGAGCTCGATTTGCTCGATTCGTGGCCGCCATAATAAGATGCAGTCGACGGAGGAACTTTTCCTCCCCTGCTTAAGGGACGAAAGTTTCTCCCTTTCTGAAGGAACATATGTGTCAAGAGCGTTCCTCCCTTTAGGGAGGACTATGCTGACCCTTTTTTCTAAGAGTGTAGAGAATTTTTTATTGCTGCAACTCGCACCAGTTACGACAATCTGGACGACCCGCGCATTTAGAATGTTCCAGGCAAAAATATGGATGGAAATCAGGCTGGAAAGCATCACACGTTGTCACGGGCACTTGTTTAGCCAGTCTGCCTGTGAACGTCGATTTCGTCACTATTCTTGCCCTGGACTAGCACCGTAATCACAAAGTCACTAAACGCTTGTGCTTGATTGAGAGACACTGCATTTGGCGCAGAACGTAGTTTTCTTCCTGCTCTGGACAATGACAATAAATTTGAGGGATGTATTTTCGCCCACAAAATTGTATTTAATTACAATTGTATTTGAAATACCCACGT